GTTTATTTGTCTGTTTTTGTAGTAATTTTTATTATAGATTAATAAAGAAACTGTTATAAGCATTTTTGTTAATTTAGTGCCCTAAACTTCATTGTTTTCCTGGTATTGGTTATTGCACCAAATGTCCTAAAATAATCTAAAACTATCTATAGTTTAGCTACAGAAAAGAAAATCAAGTTTATATATTTTTTTATGTAATAAGTTTACCAATTTAAAATATATTCAATAGATCAGCTTCAAAATATATATCGGAAAAATAAATGTTCAGTTAAAAAAAAAAATACTGGTCTTCAAAGCCCTAAGCTCTTTGTCTCTGACATTCCTATGAGATTTATTGATGTGTAAATAAAATTGATTTGCTATAACTTTATTAGGTAAGGGCTTTTGTATAGTTGAGATACAGGAAGCAAAAAGTATGCAAGTAAATGATATAATGTAATTGTAAATACAGTACTAGAAATTAAACAATTGTTCTTAGTTCTTAGATTCATTTTTTCACAAAGCGTAATTTTCCTTCAGAATGTGTGTGCACAATAAAAGTAGCTGAGAACTATGGAAACAAAACTCAATTATATAATTCATCATTGCCTTTCAATGTAATCTCAAAATTTATCATGTTTGATATTTTTCCCATTTATGAAGAAAACTCAATTTTTCTCTGAAGAATAGTTGAATGTTCAAAAAACACTAATAAAGCCGTAACTCTTCTTGTAGCTTTTTGTAATTTGTTAAGAATTTCTAAAATTTGAAAGATAATAATATTTAGATTTCATTTTTTAAAGCCTGCTGACTGTCGGATACTCATAGAAAAGTTAAAAGCCTGTAATGATGATGAACTGGTTTGTGAACTTAAAAAAATCAAAACTTGGAACTGTGGAAAGGTGTGTATTATCTTATTCATTTTAAAATTGATTTCTTGTATTGAGAATGGTATTAATCTTATCTAAAGAAAATATGATAAAGATACTGACCATTATTTTAAATTGGGATTTAAAAATAGATACTTTAATGCTTGTTTTCTGTAGAAATTTTTGAAAGAAGATATTTAGGTTTGAATTCTTTTATAAAATTATCTCTTTTAAAGAATGTGACTTAAAATATATTGTTCATTAGAAATGGTATTTACAGGAAAAATGACTGTCTTTGGTAAATTGAGATTTTTAGTACAAAGTTTCCCTAAATAGAAATGCACGAACAACTGAAATAGCAAGAACAAAATTCAGTTTTGTTGAAGAGTAAACTGAACATTGTTTTAAAATTGTTTAACATTTATCATTTACAGAAAAAATATTGCTTTCCTTTGGTGTGAAAAAACTGTTCTCTTTGGAGATTCATCAAAGTTTTAATGGGTTGAAATATTGAACTTGTATAGGAATATCATATTTTTTGTGAAGTGCTTTGTATATTTTTGAACACCCGTTTTTCTAGTGTGAACTTTACCACTGGACAGATGTCCTTGACAAATTTGATACTATTTTGGAGGCAGCATGCCAAAAGATAAAAGAGGGTCAGTGGTGTTTACCATGTGATATACCTGGACAAGAAAAGGTACAAATTTTTAAACTTTTTGATGCTACATACATATTTCCTTTGTACTTATAAATCAACTTGTTTTATATTTGAAGGTTATTATGGATGTAATATTTTGCAAGAATTTGATAAGGATCACAAGCATTAACTTCAAATGTTAAAAACCTACAAATATAGAAAAGGTGGTATATTAAAAGCAAAAAAATCTAGTTTTCTCATAGTTGTATTGATAACAATTATATTAAAGTGTTATTGTCAAAGTACAAACCATTTTAATTATTAAAACTTTTCATATAAGGGTTTCAGAAAACTGAAATATTAATACAAATTTTCAAGTATCATTTAATGATTGTAATGCAGGTTATGATTTCATTTCATTTCTGTTGTAAAGTCGTCTTTATTGTTTCCAAGGAAAGTTTAAAAATATAAATCAGTTTTTTAGTTTATAGAATATTTCTATGGAAGTATATAAAATCATTGTATGAACAGTAATCCTAGTATTATTTTCTTATCTATTTATCATGTTTTGTTTGATAAAAGTAAAAATCTGTATATTTATCTACTGTATTATAGGTTTCAGAGCTTGTGATGAAAATGAATGAATTATTAGTATCCAACACATTATTTTCAAGTTATGGCTTTATTTTAAATTTAGCTAAAATTTGTAATGCCTAAAATTGTCTTAAAAACAAATCTATCAGATTGTTTTTATAATTATTTTATAACTTAATTTAAGCTTTGTTAATTTTTCAGTTATTCTTGTTTTTCATTCTAGAATAAAGAACTCCTGCTGCAGATCCTGCAGTTTACTGCTTTGCTTATTGAGCATAGCTTCTCACGACATTTATACAACTCTGTAGAGGTAAGGTGTACATAAAAAGGTATGCTACTGAATCTGCATGTATTTTTTTTATTTTTAACAGTAGCATCTGTTAACATTAGTCATACAGGTTCATATAATATTGTAAAGTATTATAAGTATCAGAAAATGTATTATTGTGTTGTAGAAGATTATGGTAAATACATTTCATCTATAACAAAGTTATTTTGGAGAAAATTTGTTGTATTTTTGTAATACCAAAAAAAGGCTTAATTTTAATCCTATAAATTTATAATTGATGAAATTGACAGTTGGCTCGATAACTACAGTCGTATGATACAGGAAGATGACTATCCAAAATTTATGACCCAAGTGTTAAAAGTATCTCATAATCTGCAGACTTATTTCTCTGAAATAAAGTGTTATGGCCGTATTTAAAGTGTTTTGTTTTAATTTTATGATTTTTGAGGAAAAACTTAATTTGAAAGGCTTAAAGTATTTTTTGACAGATTATGTAACATTAAACATTTTTATTCTTGTTTTTTCATCAAGCTGTATAGACTTTGTGTATTATTCAACTAAAATATTTGTAAAAAACAACTTGCAACAAATAAACAAGATTGTGAATAACCTTTTTAAGCCTGCTCTGGAACATATGCAGTTAGTGATGTTTCCCTAAACTGTACTCTGAAAGGCCTTTTTTTTTTTCAGCACTTGACTACTTTGTTGTCATCCAGTGACATGCAGGTTGTCCTGGGTGTATTGAATCTTCTCTATGTATTTAGGTAAGTAATAACATGACTGTAAAAATGAGTTGTAGCTTAGTTTCAGTTAACATTTCACATTTTGTCTTGAACTTCTTTCAGTTTTATGGGCTTTAAACCATCACAACTGTGACTTTTAATTTAGCCTTATGGGCTTTTCAAACAGAAAATTATTATACCCATGGGGTCCATATATTAAATCATATTCAGTAATTTTGTTTTTCCGTGTTACAAGATTCAGTGTGAAATAGATAAGAAATCCTGATGATAATCAGTAGTTTGAATTTAAATATTGTTGGTGTTTTCATATGCAATTTTCTGCTTCTTGGATGGTGTTAGGGGCCCTGTAACCAAAACAGTCGTGGACCTACAAATAGAAAGGTGCATAAACAGTTTATAAAATTTTTAATAGCTAATTGACCCCATTGACAATTTTGGGGTTAATACATCACGTTACTTGTAGTTCAGTTTCTTAAAATTTAAAATAGAATTTGAATAATACTTGAGAAAGCAAAATTAACTATTTTCTCAGCTCAGTCCAACAGAATGAAAGAGTTGAAGATATACATATTAGAATTCTAAATTTACTAAGTGTATGTTCATTAAATTTTGAAAGCTTTTAGCGAATATTACAAATCTGTTGTATGCAAAATTTTCATTAATAATTTATCTGTGAATTTATAAAAAATTTTACTGAATCAGTCTGAGTAAAAGGTGATTTTGATGCTAAAAATAAAAATACTCCTTGTAATCTTAGTTCCACATTTCATTTTCCTAACCTATAGAACATCTTGAATGAATATCAAAATATTTTTTTTCTGGAGAATTTTATATTTTATCTCTTATTTTCACACCATAACACACAAATGTAGCAAGAAAAGTAGAAAAAATTTACTGGTGCATGAGATAACTTAAAGCTGTTGTAAAAGAATAACCCTTGAATGTTGTTTTAGTAACTTTAATGATACTAGAATTATTATTACAGAGTTGTTGTTTATATTTTGAACATACTCTAGTTAAGAGTTTGTTAAAGCATTTTTTACATAAATTAGTAATGGTAATTGAAGTTGCATATCATCAACCAGACCTGTTCTATTTTATTACTGTAGTTTATAGAACATTTTTAAAGCCTATTTTTAATTGCATTTCAGTAAACGGTCAAATTTTATCACAAGATTAAATGCTGAAAGGCGGCAGGCACTACTCATCAGACTCACATATCTTGCAGAGGTAAGTGGGAATTGTGGCTTTGAATTTGACAAAGCTTTTGGGGGATAATTTTGTTAGATTTGGTTACTTGAAACTGAGATGGAATTTGTGTTTTAGACAAGTAATAGTTGCACAAAGTTTTGAAAATATTTCGGATATTTATATCTTATAAATAGATTCTACATTTAAGTTTGAAACTCTCAACCTAAACTTTTTTTTAATGTATATAGATATATATTTTACTCTTATCCCTGGACCCTGGGGCATTACTAAGATTTTCTAACCTTTGTTCTGAACAATTGTTCAGTGACACTTGTTTATTTATGTGAAAATTTCAGTTACAATTAGGATATTATCAGATTAATCATTGAGAAACTTCATTTTTATTGTTTAAAATATACATCATTTGTTTATTTCAGAACTGGGGAGGTAAAGAAAATGGTTTTGGTTTAGCTGAGTGCTGTCAGGATTTACCTCTTTCGGTGAGTGATTGTTAGACATGGTGTTAAAAGTGATATATAGTAAAGTTGTAAAATTTATTTTTTTCCTTAAGTGTCAGGTTGCATGATAAACCCCTAAGAACTGCTAAATTCTAATAATAAAGACCATCTTTTTATGTAATTTGTTATACTGTAACATAATATTAGGGGAAACATGTGTATTCATACAAATAATTTTTTGGCTGTGGCATTTTGTATTTGAATGTACAAAGTTTATAAAATGTGAAGGTAGTTCTGTGTATTTAATTAAAACAGTTAAGTGACCTGCATAAGAAGTTAGGTATATAGAATTCTGAATGAATCTTATGGCTGTGCAGAGCATTTCGATGTTTGTGAGATCAAACCTAAGTGGATTATTCCACAACACACAATACCCATCAAACACCTTTAGGGCAAAAGACACTTTTAGCTGAATGGTATGATCAGAAGAAAAAAAAATTGGATTGATTTACCTAGTAAGAGACACCAGATATCAATTATTTCAAAACCTTGGTATCAGTGGGTGATGTATTGGTATTCTAAGTGTCTATAAACAAATGAAGAAATTCATGCACAAAACCTTAACCCAAACACTGCTGTCTGAGATAGGGCTCTGGGGTATGACAGATCCATTCCCCTAATACTCTTCTCTTTGAAATGCATAGCATTATCTACACTCACCCCAGTAATTAATATAAACTTACAAATAGACGTATGCACTTTTGATTCTAATGCATTGTAGGTTAGACCTAAATGAAGAATGTAATATATATATATGTGTGTATAATAAACATATTAATCAGTACTCTCAGTGAAAATAGTAATAAAGAAAGAGTAGATTATAACTTCAAATACATGTAACTTGTTTGTCTCATTCACTATTAATAATTCCCAGTCTGCTGAAAACTGTGGCATCAGTATATGCAAATTTGTAAATAATTCTCATGTAATGACTGACCAATGAAAGTTCTTAAACAGTTGTGACATTTAACTTTAAAATATCTTTACTACAACACATTTAATAATAAAAGTAGTTTAACCTTCTTGCTATGGGCAGATCAAAGTGTGCATGTCATTACTTTTTAGAGTTTTATTCAAAATCTAATTAAGCTACTTTATTATCATGGTGTACAAATAAACATGGCATAAAAACGTAGTTAATAAATCAAATTTTAATATTATACAAGTTGTAAGTTGTCTCACTTGTGACATTTGCTCTGTAGGTCTTCTCTTTTTTATAATTTATTTACCACCCCTCCAAGAAGTATAGAATTTAACATAAATTATTCATTATAATATTGTTATCACTCAGGGAAAGAAAGCATACTTTTTATAACCTTCAATTTTATTTGGTTATAGGACCATAAAATAGAAATCAAGACCCATCTACCCGTCACATCGTCTCTTTCACAAATTGCCAATAATTTTCTTTGACATTTAATACTATATTAATTTTAATCAATATAAAACCAAAGTTTTAATCTATCACATGATGTATTATGTTGTTTTCTGTACAGGGAATTGTTTATTTCACTTCCAGTTCAAACTATTACCATGGGAAACATATGGACAAGCTTGGGTAAATTTTTAAAGGCTCTTAGAAACGCTCATAGTTAGAAAGCCAGAAAAAGTATGATAGTTATTGGATATTGTTTGTTTTTTACGTGTTATTATTCTGTGTTCTTAGATACATGATTTTATTGAATAAGTAATTATTTAGTGTAATAGTAACATTAGTATAAAAAGGGGGGAGATAAGTTTCTACAGTCAACAGCAAAAAATATAGATCCAGGTAAGTATTATATTCCTTTTTCCATGTGTAGTCTTTATTTATTACTATATAAAAGTAACTAAAATTTAAAAAATAGGAAGTTATGTTAGATTAGGGGAGATAAAGAAAAAAAAAATTTTTTCATGGGGTATGCTCACAAGTAGCTTGTGTCTTATGTAAATCATTAGGGTAATGTGAGCTACACTGTTGCCAAGTCATTTACAACTTGTATGGTGTGATTATTAGTTAATCATGGCTCAATGGAAAATAAAATTTAAGTAGGAACAGATGGATATTGTTACAAGATTTAAGCTAGTTAGGATAAACAAATGTGGTTTCATGTTACAATTTGAAATCATTCTAGAAAGAAAAAAGGGTAATTTAGATATATTTCTATATTTTTTTTATGGTGGTTAGGAGGTCGGTCAAATTGACTAACCTCATACAAAGCCATGGTAGAGAAAATTAAATTATAAAGTTTTCTGGAAAAAAAGTTTTTGAAATTGGTTTAGGAGGTTTTAGAGATTTCTCACATGAGATGTAAGAATTTTTAGATGAAGAAAAGTATTTTTAACCTTAACATGAAAATACTTTGCATTCAAAGCAGTTGACACTTTGACTCCATATATTCACAGAGAAATGTTTAGTGAAAATACTTCATTAAAAATTCTGATTTTCTTATGTACAAAAGACTTAACCCTATGGCTCCCAGCAACATTTTTAAATTCCTTTAAAAAAAATACTTAAACTGCAGTTTTTGTGTTACGTGATCCATACACTTTGAAAAATCTCGACTTTAGCACTGTTTCTCTCCAAGACACACAAATTGGCATGTAGAGGTGGTTTACTCACACTAAGTCCATACGTTTGACCTAACTGTTATGTGAGAGCTAAAGTCTGCAAGCTGTATTGTCTGGGAAACAGGTATAAATTTTCCAAACCTTGCTGGTTGCAATGCTCACTTTCTGTACTTTGCCTTGAGATCTAACGTGTACATGTAGTTAGTTGACATAAGTGTATATAGTCATTAGAAAGAGCTCAGTTTACATTATACTTTACCAATGGATAATTTAAAATTGACTCTCAGTTTTCCTTACAGTGTACATGTAACTGCCTTTTGTATTGTTGTCTGCTTGATCGACTATAGCATGTGATTTTTTACCTAAATATGGTATAGTGAGAGACACTAAATCTCTATTTAGGTCTTACTTTTATATTTGTTAACTATGTATTATGTTTGTTTTAAAAATCATATTTGAATGGTTTAAGGATTTTTTTTATAAGTTTAACCTGTTGCCTGGATTTTGAAAGATTATAACAAGGTGGTGTGTGTAAGTGCCACCTTGTTTCGGTAATGTATCTCTGTGGGGACTCTGTCAAAATAACTTAGGAAAGCTCTGCAGGCATCAGTTATTGTATAGGCATAAATGATAATAGACAAATCATTTGAAAGGAAAATTAAAAATAAACTATAAGTGAAAAGATTACACATAAGAAAAATAACTGTTCTAGTGGATTTATATGAAGAGTTAAAAGATATGTACATATTTCCATTTGTTAATTTCAAACATTTCATTGCACTGTATGTTGATAATAATATAGTTAGTGAGAAATATAGTAGAGAAAATGAAAAATAAAATATAAATATTTACCTTAATTTTTGATATTCATTTATGAGATCCTAAAGTTCATAAATGAAATGTAAGATAAAATATAGTATTTTTATACTTCATATAAATATCACCTTGCAGGTGAACTATTCAAGGTGCGAGTGCAGATAACTACATTAAATAACAATTTTTTATTAGAAATAGTAGAAAAAAATAAAAATTAAATGTTTTATACATCTGAAACTACATACTTTTAAGAATGTTCTTGTCAAATTTTAAACAATTTCATCCACTAGTTTTATTTTTGGAACAAAATGTGATGAGAGGGATGTAACCTGCTATGAATCATAGCACATGGTTGCGATAGGGTTAATGCTTACTGAAAAGCTTGCAAAATTTCATGAAGATACACAGAACATATTAAAAGTTATTATATTATAACTATAAAAGTCAATTTGGGGTCACATACTTGGCCAATTTGACTGAGCCTGCAGTGAGGTAGTTAACAGAAGGATCATTGTTACTTGTATTACAGATAAAGATAGTTTAACCCTATAAATATGGGTGTGGGTCAAAGTGCTGATGACTCAATATTTTCCAATTATGTTCAAACTTCAATTGAACAACTTTATTATCAGTGTCTGTCAATAAATTGGTCAAAATGTAGTTTGTAATTGAAATGTTAATGTGTTTGTTTTAATTACTTAATGTCAAAAGGAAATATTTCACTAAATTCTTAATCTCCAGTTCTTTATCACAAATTACCCATTTTACATTTTCTTTCTACCCATTATATAATTTGAATTTAACATAAGTTATACACCTGTAATATAGATACAGCTAAACTATAATGTAAATGTATAGCCTCAAATCTTCATACTTTACTGAGGTATAAACAAGAAAGTGAAGTCCATGTGTCACACCCTCCTATTGCATCATTTTAAAATGTCAGTAATTCTCTCTTTGACATTTTCACTTGTTATCTACAACCAATAAAAAGACAAAGTAGGGTTATGATACTTCCCTTACTTTGTTTTTTACAAAACTTGGGCTTAAGTACTAAATTTCTTGTATTGCTGTATATTTTCTATATATTGTTGTAAAAATAATTAGAATGTAAAAATTAGAAATTCTTCAGCATGTTGCCACTTGTTGACCTGAGAATGTTTAATTGTGGTGCAACAGTACATACAAACGTTTTCCCCAATGACATCCAACTCTCCTTCCTCTCTGAAACTCTGTTAGCTCTATCCGTGTACTCATCTTTCGGCGTACAAATTCGAAATGACTTCCGAGCGAACCACTGATCACCTTAAAAGGCCAAACTATATGCACATTTTGTTGTCACACCCATTTTCGTGCAATCAGAGGTGTGTCTCATGACTATTGATAGGATAGTGTGTGTGTTTCTCTTTTAATTTCTCTCCCTTTCTGTCAAAAATGATCTATCCAGGTGGCTGGTGTTGCCTCCCAAGGTATGTTTATTTCCCAAAATCTGCATTCAGCCAGGATAAAGAAAAATGCTCAGACTATCTGCCATGTCTCTACAAATTCCCACTGTGAGATGGAGTGTTCTACAAGACCACTCAAGATATCCCCATGGTATATAAATTTGTTCAGTTGTTCAATCCAGACTGTACAAATTCCATGGATTTTCATGGAAAAATCCAGCACCATAGAAATGGCTGCCCACTTATTTGACTTGTGCTTGCTGGCTCTTAAAAATAGGAATTCATGGTCACCCATAGCACTGTCTCCAGTTAAAGATCATTTCAGATATGGTCCAGTGGGGAATCTGGGGACTTTTGTGTGTTTCC